GGGGGCATTCATTAATCCTACTTCCTGGTTGGGGTAGGGATACACATTTGTTGTTGTAGGAGAGGGTAAGAGGTAGGGGAGGGGGGAGGGGCTAATAGGGAGGGGGGAGAGAACTTTTTTTTGAATTTAATAAAAACTCTCTGATACACGGTTTATAATAGGGTCCACTTCTCTTGTGACAGCACAAAGACAGTTGCGGGTTCACACCACTCCCCCCACCCCCTTTTTTATACCCTAGGGAGGTTTTTTCGAGTAGTAGGGAGTGGTGTGTTGATTAAGCAACTGTCTTTATATTCATAGGGCAGATTTTTGAAAAGTGTTTTTTGCGAATAACTTTTGAACCGCAAGTGGGAATCGAAAAATTCTTTTTTTAGAAGGCGTATCTGTAAGAGGCCCTAGTCGAATACGAAATCTGGGAGTTGGGGTAACGGGGTAAGGTGGGGTAAACCCCAAAAAACATGTGTCACGGGGGTGGAAAAAAAGGTCAAAAAACAGGTTTTTCGTGAATAACTCGAAAACGAAGAGGGGTATCGAAACGGGGTTTGCGGGAGGTCGTAGAGCTAGTGGGGGCGCTCCTCTTGCGAAAAACGGCACTCTGATTGGGCGTGGCACCTACGTCACAGTGACGTCAGAAGAGGCGATTTTGGCACTTTTTCGCCGATTTTCAAACTAACGGGGCAGAAAGGTGACAAGAGGTACAGACGGCCGAATAGGCTCAAACTGTGCCAAATTTAGTGGGGTAACTGAGAACCTTCGTTTGCACCAGGGTACCGCCTTTCTGTTCCGAGTTATTTGGCACAAACCGAGTGGCACTGGTGCCGAAAAGTGCCAAAAACACACTTTAGACCCTAACTTTTGAACCACAAATGGGACAAAACTGGCACGTGGCTCAAACGAAAGATCTCCACGAGTTACACGAGTGACCTGAGTTTGGGCGTGGTTGGGCGTGGTCGTGACGTCACAGAGGCAAGCGAAAGTGGGCCCTGTTTGGGACCTTGGCACAGAGAGACCAAAAGTGGTACAGACGTGCAAACGGTGCCAAAGTGATCGCTATATGGTGGATTGAAAAGGGTGGCAACGGCGACTTGGTACCTTTTACGGTTGCGCCACTGTGTGCCAAAAACCAAAAAATAGGGTCAAAAACGGGGTGCCAAAAAAGTCTTTTGGCCATAACTTTTGAACCAGCGGGGGTACCACTACGCCCCTCACACCAAATGTTGTCCTTTTCAAGGGGCATCTTTGGGTGTGGTCGGTTTTGGATTTGGGCGTGGCTATGACGTCACAGTGACGTCGAAAAATTGAAAAAAATTTTGACTTTGAGGCCGAATAACTTTTTCTGTGTTTCAGTGTTGGGAAATCCAAACGTGCCAAAAAACTTTCCATCCAGTTGGCAATCCGGGCCTGTGGTCGAAAATCGATTGTCACATCTCCTTTGTGCCAAAAAGTGCCAAAAGTTAAAAGAGCCATAACATTTTTGTTTTTTGCGAATAACTTTTTTCACAGACGTGGTACCCCCCCCAACATACCACCTAAATGGATAGAGGGCGTCGCGGCGCATCTTTTGATGGTATGGTTGTTCCAAAAAAAGTTGAAGATAATGTGCCATTTTGGCACAAAGTTTGAAAATGTGCCAATTTCAGACGTTTCTGCATATATCTCTGCCCAGGTATGTGGTACCTCAGCATGCAATAATTCATATGAAAGGGCGTGACATGACGGTCAGTTTGATGTATTTGGTTTTGGATTTGGGCGTGGCTGTGACGTCATAGCTACGTCACAATGGCGAATTTAGGCCCATTTTCAAAAATTCGTTTCTCTTTTGTGAAACAACTGTTAGTGTGGGTAATATGTGGAAAAGATCGGTAAATTAGTGTTCTTTCATGGTGCTTTGAGTACTTTACAGGACCTGTCACAGTTTTTTCAGAATTGGCACATTTGTAATGGCCGGTATTTGAAAAACGTTTAGGCCCATAACTTCTGTGATACATGAGGTACCTCGGATGTTTGTGCAGCAAACGAAAGATCTCGTCAATACGAATCGATTGGTGGTATTGGTTTAGGGGTTACACCTAGTAATGACGTCACTATGACCGGTTGAAGTTTTGGCACTTTTCTGTATTGGTGTAATTGTTTATTCTGACTAGGCCCGGTCCGCCATTTTGTGTTTTGACTTTCGAAGCTTTATTGCCATAACTCGGCGACTGTATGGAATGAATTAGGGGCCATGGGCTCATTTTGAAGGGTTTTACAAGGGTCATCTGCTGGTGTAAGTTGTTTGTTAATTGGGCGTGGTTATGATGTCACTCTGACGTCATAGTTTTATTTCTTATCATTTGTTATAGTTTTTTTTCAAAACCAATCTGTACATCTGAATGAATGACACCAAATGAAAGATATCGTTGATGCGATTCGAATGGTACTATTATATGGGGGTTTACTTTAGCAATTGATGATTCTAGAGTGTTTTTAATTTCTGGTACTGTAACGTCTATGTAGCAGGGTCCGGCCCTCCATTTTGTGTTGCAGTTTCTAGGCATCATTGTCATAACTCTAAAACGATATGGAGTATGTTAGGGGCCAAAGGCTCATTTTGAAGCTTTTTGCAAGGGGCATCTTTTAGGGTGGTTTGTTTTCAAATTGGGCGTGGCTGTGCTGTCATAGTGACGTCATAGTCTTCAACTTTTTGGAATTTTTGAAAATTAACTATTTAAATACATGTTCAACGTCAAAATGAATAACACCTAATGAAAGTTCTCGTCAAAGCGATTCGAATGGTGGTATTGGCTCTTCTGTGGCGTAAAGAAATTAGTTTATTATGCAGAATTCCTTTTCAAAACTTCATCGATTGCTTTGACCGATAACTGCATCAATGGACAGGGCATTCATTTTAATTGATGCGATTAAGGGTCTTTGTTTATATTTTATCTTCAAAATTGTCAAACAACGAATGATGTCTCTTTTGTTCTGATTGATTGTTTACATAAAGATCAAATATCCCATCCAGACAGCAGGTACTTTTCGAGTTCGAATTCGCATGTGAAATTCGATGCGGCCGTTGATGAAGTTTGGTTTGTCACAAGAATTGCTTGTCTGAGTACTTTGTTACTTTGTTACTCAGAGTTGGATCGTTTGGAAATCGTTTGGGTTTTTCAAGACCGCATTGTTGGATTATTTGGCGGTTGAGTTCGACGCCTTAACTATTTACCAAGAAAATTGGACTCCTTTAACTATGGATTTTTTGTATACTTGTATGTGGACCTTATTGAGGACATTTATCAATCGGACTGGACTTTTTTGGATTGATTAATATAGCTACAGTTGTTTAATGGTATCGCTGATAATTGGATTGTAAATCATTTAATTCCATTGAGATTCATCTCGTGCGAAATGGTTTCTTTTTTTCAAATTCTGGTCTCCCTGTCAGCGGCCCGCGGTTTCGGTCTTTGCTGACGCCATTTCGCTTTTGAAATTGTTTTGAGGAGAAAGAGAAGAAGTCGGAAGGTATGTTTGTATCACTAATAATTTAATTGTTCTTACTATAAGAAAGCATTATTTTTATTGCTTGAATATGGAATATGAGAAGAAAGTCTTCCTCTGCGCTTATGGAAATTTATTTACTTTGTGTACTTTGTGTATTTTCTAGCGGAGACTTATTTACTTTCTGTCGCTAGTATCCCCTAATACTATTCGTATTGCCGAATTGTAGAACATGACATTAAAAAGATTCGTCCTTTCTAAAATTATAAATTTTTGTCGGTTTTATTCATGAGATTACAGCTGCAAAATTTGCTCCTTTGTTTGAATTATTTGTGACAGCTTTTCTTTGAAACAATAATTCGGCGGCTGTTCACTTTGCACACAGTTTTATGCAGCATTCTAAACAAAAGATAATGTCATTGTAATGATGACAGGATAATTTTTCCTTTATTTTCACCCCAGTTTCTTAGACGCGTCTCATTGTTTCTGCAGATATTTGAGTGACCTTGGCAAATACATTTTTCAAATAAATAATTTTTAGTAAGTTGTCTGCTACACTATTTGTAAATTTTCACTTTCACCCAACCATATTGAACTAAACTGTAGAATTCACTTTGCTATGCAATTGGAACGAAGGAGTTAATATTGTGTATTACTACTTTAATGAAACTCTTTAAGCTAATGTCTTTATATCTGAAATTGTAATTATGATATTGTATAATGATTAAATTATTTCATTCTGCTCATTCCTAAAACATAAATGCAAACTCAGAACTTTATACCCTGCTGAATGTAAACATAAATTCATATTATCATGTTATTTTTATCAACATCATTATGAATTATACCATATTGCCCTCCTTGACATAAGGTTAACACATGGAATGCCATTTTCAATTCTTTGAGATTGAGACTGCCCTGATTGTGAATTGTTCATATTTGTATAAATTTTAGTTGTAAATTGCTGCAGTTCTAATGTTGATCAGAAAATAGTTTGTGCCCTCATTAGTCAATCCTTTTCATAATTCTTTAATTATTGATTTGTTATTGCTGCATACATGTATCTCATACTCTTTCATTGTTTCCATAGGTTTTCATTCTAGTTTATATTTCTTTAAACTATTATTGGTTAATTTTGTTCTATTTATTTGGTGAGTTTCAATTTTATAATTCTTTAATGTTACACTGATTAGCTCATTTCATCATAACCTTTAACAAAACAATGTTATTGTATGGAGATGTTTTTTGACTAGTCTCCCAGTATATAAACTATTTGAACTTGCTACAGCTGTATATTATAGTCACTGGTATTTAATTTTACAAAATGTGTTCTGTTTTTTTAATAAGCGGCATGAATAGAAAAAGGATATATTGTTTCTTTTGAAATATTTATTATCAATTGCTACCGGTGTTTGAACATTTCATACATAAGGAGTCAACTGCAGAATACTAAATTAGTTCTTGTAAAGTCATAACATTTGGCATTGCTGATTTGCATCATAGTGTTGCTACATTAGGACCACCTTTCAACATAAACTGTACAGATAGAATCATCATTTTCAATTCTTCCAATTTCAAACCATGTTGAATTTTAGTTATTGGAAGTTATCATGATATTATATATTTAATGTTGTAAGGTTGCTTGAAATATAATTTTGACAAGTGAATGATTGATGTCCTCTAACTGTAATTCTTTAATTAAGGTTACCTGTAATTTACTTATTGATACATACATTTCTCTCATACTCTTTCTTTTTTCTATAGGTTTCCATTTCAATTTCCTTAATTTGACTTATATTGGTTGGTTTTCTTCTGTTTATTTGGTAAGTTTTCATTTAATAATTCTTTCATGTTTTACTGTTTGACAACACATTGTTATCATATGGAGAGATTTATTGACTACTCTCACAGTACATTTGAACTTGCTAGAGCTGTATATTCTTGTGGCTGGCATTTTAATTTGACAAAATGTGTTCAGTTTTGTTTTTTTTAATGATGGGCATTAATAGGAAGATAATATGTTACATTCTCTTGAAATATTTATTATCAATTGCTACCAGTGTTTGAACATTTTATACATAAGGAGTCAACTGCTATATATTAAATTAGTTTTTTTAAAGTCATAACATTGGTATGGCTGATTTGCATGATAGTGTTGCTACATTAGGAATATGTTTCTACTACTTGACAAATTCCATCATTGAAATATGAAGATAATTGGAATGATTACCACCTTTCAACGTAAACTGTACAGATAGAATCATCATTTTCAATTCTTCCAATTTCAAACCATATTATTATAATATAATAGATATAATTGTGTCATACTTTTTCATTTTTTCTATAGGTTTTCATTACAGTTTCTTTACTTTGACAAATATTGGTCCATTTGGTTCTCTTTATTTGGTAAGTTTTCATTTTTATAATTCTTTCATGTTTCACTGATTGCCTCATTTCATCTTTGCCTTTGACAACACAATGTTATCATATGGATATATTAAATGATCACTCCCGTGTTATATATATATATACTGTTTGCAGTTGCTATGCCTGAATATTCCAGTGATTGCTTCTTAGTTAAATGGGGAAAATGAATAGGATTACCTGTAGTATGATTCTGTTCTTTCATTTCAAAGAATTAATTATCTAATCATATATATTATTTGTACATACTTAGGCAGTTTATTGTAGTATGTTTGAAGGATGATGGAAATATAGTTAAACTGTGTTGAATAAGTTTTGTTAATATCAGTACCATAATTATTGTTGTAAGTTCCTGCAAGTCCAATACTTATTAGAAAATTGTTGATGCCCTTTAATGCCATAAGCTGACTTTTTCAATTTTAGTAATGATTTGCTTTTGCTACATACATTTTTTCTTATAATCTTCCATTGTTTCTATAGTTGTGCATTCTCAATTGGATTGCCTTTTGTGTCATTTGTTCATTTGTTCTACTAATTTGGTGAGTTTTCACTTTAGAACTGTTCAGCTTTTTCTCAGTGTTTCTTTTATCATGAACTATTCTCACAGTCTAAACTATATTTACTTGCAACACCTCTACATTAATGTTTGTTACATTTTAATTTCACAATATTTGTTTTGTTTTGTGTCTCAATTTAGTCAGGGATATGAATAGGAATAGGATGGATTCAAATCTTTTGAATTTTGAATTATGACTCCACATCACTTATATGAAAGTACATAAGCAATCAACATTGATATATATTTTGATATTTGTCTTTCTTAAATGGAATTTTAGCCTTATTACAGAATAATTTTTAGCAAAGGGTGTTTAGTAGACAATAAATTTTGTATTTGAAATAATTTTAATTGATTGATTTAATTGAGAGGATACTTGGCCTAATTGAGAGGATATCATTTGCTCATGGTGAATAGAATATTTATTCGAGGCCAGTCTGTAATTATTTTTGAAAGACTTGTAATTCTGTTGTTAAATGCCAATAGTGGAGAACATGACATCTGTTATGCTTTTATTTATGTAATGAATTTATTTTTTATATACCCTTGTCTTATGCTTCTCATTACTTTATAGGTTTTTGTTCTTATTGGATTTGGTCCAACTTTTGGTTATCTGGCTTTCTTTTTATTACACAGTTGGTGAGTTGATATTTAAAAATATTTCAATGTCTTGCTGAGCCTCTCAATTGACTGTTTAAACAGAATATCCTCCAGGAGGTTTTAAGAATGAGTTAGTGCAGTCCATTTGAATCCCCAAATGCTGGAAGATTCAAGCTACTATCCAATACCTGCTATCAAATTGGTTGATTTTGCTGCTTTCTGTCTATCGAAATACAGGATAAATAGACAACCCAAATTCTACATTATTCTAAAACTTCAGTAGTTGATTCATATTATTAAGTAATTGATCATACATTACATGTTCAAAGGTGTGTATTTGAAATGCTATGGTCATATTTCCCCCAATTTACCCTTTTGTAAGTGTTGTATTGGAAGCATATATGCGCTTAGGCTGTCTACAATGTTGATGAAGTGTTATGAAT